GAGAGAGTGAGAGGGAGGAAGAGAGATGACAGAACAGAGAAGAGAAAACTACTTTAACTATTGACACACAAGATATCAGATCGTTGTTTTTCCCCCCGTTTTACAGATGTCGGTTCCACTAGTTTGTATGTTACCCTTTTACCCCCTAAGTAAGCTATTAAGGCTGCTTAGCTAGTGTGGGTGTACATTGGGACATACAGTTATGGCCGATTTGTGTAAATAAAAAAGGGTGAAATATATTTTTCGGGAATTTCGTTCAGTCTGATCCTTCTTCACTCTTCCACAGGAGATATAGTGCTGGAGGTTTCCGGACGTAACTGCTGGTGAAATAAAGTTAAAAAAAGTTATGCTGATAATTTTAATATGTCTTTTATAAATAATCAAATTTAAAAGACACTTTGTCGGTTGCTTTATTTAAAAATAAACGTGCATTAATTTTTTATTTAAATAGTTTTTTTTTCGGGTAAAAACGAGACGGGGTGGCACGGCGGTAAAGGCCAACAGTTTTGCACGACATGGCGGTCGTGCGGGTTTAGCCTACTACAGTTTACATTACATACAAATATTTTATTCCTTATTTCGGGCTTCACAAACTGTAGTACGCGAACCCCTTGGGGGTCTGCCAACAATAACTAAGGGGTCCACGGCAACATTAAAAACTTAACAATTACAAAAATAAAGCAGAACGAATAAATACAATTAAATAATTAACAAAATTAGTACTGAAAACAACAGAAGGACAACCTTCCCAGAGGATATTACTACACAAGCCAAATAAAGAACAGCTTTCAGATGAAGCACCTCACCTGGATCCAGTTTGCTCAAATTTTACAAGTCTCCGAGTAATTGTTGGTTAAATAGTCAGTAGAAGTGAAATATCGAAAAAGCGTTAATACGACGACAGCTACTTTGATTCGGGATTTATAGAGGCTGACGAGATTGGGCGATTTGCGCGAAAGCCTTCGAAACAGTTCCAATTAAATTCCGTCGTCATTTTGAATGTACAAACCCAGAATTCGGCTGATTTTTTCATGAGGAAGCGGACTGAACGAAACGTTAGTTTTCATGAAAACGCATGATAAATACGACAGTGTACACTGCCCTTTCTCATCATTGAAAACTTTGGGCAATTTGCCATTTTGGTCCATCGAAACATCCCGAGTATTCATAACGGACAAAACTTAAATTGACTACATACTATAAATACCTAATTTTAAATACTTGAATGAGAAGGGTCCGCCATGGAATTTCTTCTGTGAAAGCCGTCCGCTGGCTAAAAAGTTTGTGATTCTCTGCCTTATTAATTACTTTAAAAAAAATATCATTTTCTACATCCCTTGAAAAATTATTTTATCCGGGAGAACATCTCGTTAAGGGTAAAAAAATATATTTATACTTTATAACAAACTTGGGGTCAAAGATTTTATTTTATGTAAAATAATTAATTTCAGCCTTTCATATTATAACTTTATATTAAAAATAAGGCATAAGGAGAAGGCAAATTTGACCGAAAAATACTCTTTTAGTCAAGCTTTCTAGGCATCCCTATCAACAGGTCTACGAACCTACAACACTTAATTTTAGAAAAATGAATGACTGAGAAGGAAAGTAAAAGAGTGAGTGAGTAAGAGGTGAATAAGAGAGGGAAGGTTTGAGAGAGTGAGAGAGAGAGAGAGAGAAGCCAGAACAAGCCCCCTTAAACCACTTCTTGGCTAGTGCAGGTATACAATGGAGCATGCAGTTATGATTGATTTGTGAAAATAAAAAATAGTAAAGTATATTTTTTTAGAATTTTGTTCAGTCTGATCCCTCATTTCTTGAAACATTCTTTCACACAAGATATAATCCTGGAGGTTTCTGGACATAACAACTACTGATAAAATAAACAAAAAAAAATGTTACGCTGATAATTTTAACAAGTTTTTTTATAAAAGATTAGCCCCTTTTAATAAAAGACACTCTGTAAACTGCTTTATTTAGAAATAAACGTGCATTAATTTTTTTTTAAATAGTTATTTTGGAGAAAACGAGGCTCTGTGTCACGGCGGTAGAGGCCAACAGTTTTGCATGACACGGCGGTCGTGCGGGTTTAGCCTACTACAGTTTACATTACATACAAATATTTTATTCCTTATTTCGGGCTTCACAAACTGTAGTACGCGAACCCCTTGGGGGTCNTTTTAAATAGTTATTTTGGAGAAAACGAGGCTCTGTGTCACGGCGGTAGAGGCCAACAGTTTTGCATGACACGGCGGTCGTGCGGGTTTAGCCTAATGCTGTTTTACATTACATATACGTACGTATTTTACTCTTTATTAATAAATTATTCTTTAAAAAAATTATTTGCTCGACCCCTGAACAATTATTTTTACGTTTTTATCCTCGAGAACATTGAGGGGGTGAGAACGCTGAGGGTCAAGAAATATATTTATATTATATGACAAACTTAGAGGCAAAGAAGTTGTTTTATGTAGAATAATTAATATCAGCCTTCAATATTATAATTTTATATTAAACATCTAGGATAGTGCAAATTTAAAGGAAAAAGACTCTTTTCGGCGAGAATTCTAGGCATCCCTAAGTACAGGACTACGAAATCATAACATTTAATTTTAATTAAATGAATTTTAATTTTACAAAAATGTGAAGTAGAGATCTTTTCCTCTTTCACCCTGATCAATCTTTTCCTATCTCTCTAGCATCTTTCCCCTGAACAGAATAAAAATCTAATAGTGGTCTATGTACCGATTGCCAGTTTTCAATTGATTCGATTGAAATTTTTTAACTTTTGATTACTGCGGGACAATAAGGGAAGGTGCTTTTAATCTTAAAACCTATTTCCCCTAGTGCAGCAAACAATTCCCAAAAGGGTGAAAACGGCTGCGAAATAATTCCGGGACGATCCGATCCGCCTGCATACTCAAAAAGCCGGATAAATTTCCAATCACCGCGAAACAAAGAGAAACAGGACCGAAGCTCACTCAGCAAACCTGAATTTGCTATATATATATTCTTTACCCTTAACGAGATGTTCTCCCCGATAGAACCGTAAAAATAATTTCTCAATGAAAACATTGAGGGGGTGAGAACATTGTGGGTCAAGAAATATATTTATATTATATGACAAACTTAGAGGCAAAGAAGTTGTTTTATGTAGAATAATTAATATCAGCTTTCAATATTATAATTTTATATTCTTTTCGTCGAGAATTCTAGGCATCCCTATCAACAGGACTACGAAATCATAGCATTTAATTTTAACTAAATGAATTTTAATTTTACAAAAATGTGGAATAGAGACCGTTTCCTCCTTCACCTTCATCAATCTTTTCCTATCTTTCTAGCGTCTTTTAATCTGAACAGAATAAAAATCCAATAGTGGTCTATGTACCGTTTCCAATTGATTCGATTCAAATATTTTATCTTTTGATTAGAGCGGGACGGTGGTTTTTAATCTTCAAACCTACCTCCCCTAGTGCAGCAAACAATTCTCAAAAGAGTTGAAACGGCTGCGAAATAATTCCGGGACAATCCGATCCTCCTGCATACTCAAAAAGCCGGATAAATTTCCAATCACCGCGGAATAAAGAGAAGGACCGAGGGTTGCTTAGCAAACCTTAGGCTTTGAAAATTATAACCAGACGTTTATTTTTGTAAAACTAAATGTTATAGTTTCGAATTCTTTTGTTGGGAATACCTCGAAAGCTCGACGAAAAGTCTTTTTGGTTCAAATTTACGTTATCCTAGGTTTTTAATATAAAATTAGAATATGGAGGCTGATATTAATTATTTTACATAAAACAAATTCTTTGACCCTAAGGTTGCTATATAATATAAATATATTTCTTTACCCTAAATGAGTTGTTCTCCCGGATAAAACAGTAAAAATAATTTTTTTAGGATAGAAAATAATTTTTTTAAAGAGTAATTAATAGGGAGTAAAATTCTTACAAAATTGATGTAGTAGGCTAAACCCGCACGACCGCCGTGTCGTGCAAAACTGTTGGCCTCTACCGCCGTGCCACCCTGCATTGGATTTACCAAAATTAACTATTTAAAGAAAAATTAATGTACGTTTATTTAAAAAAAAAAGTCATTTGCAATGTGTCTTTGGGTAGAAGATTTTAAAGTATCTTCCGTGAAGAGGGGGAACGGAGTGAGAGGAGGAAATTGAGAGAATTGCTAGAAAAGAAACATAGATCGAAAGAAAGCGAAATGGATTTCGATGGATATTTATACCTACGATATGATATATCGTATACAAAGACTGAATTGGAAACTGGTTCAATACAGTCTAATTATGCTAGAAATATTATGTACCCGTGACGGGTGTTGGTTCTACATGCTCGTACCATCATTGGATCGCTGTTGGACACCAAACCGGTTCTAAGAATTATTCACGGTCCCAGCATAATGGTGTCATGCGTGACATATTCTGCAATATATTTTGATTGGCTTTGGTGGTGGTGGATTCCATTTTTGAATTTGTCAAATTGTTCGTTCGTAAAATGTAAAGAAGTAATCGCGAATTTCCTATTGCAATTCGGCCATGAAGATTTCAACCGTTTGTTGAAAGCGCTTCGAGCACGGAATCGCCCAGGATCTTTCGATTTATCGTTTCCATTTAGTGTAATGCCTCCGTGGCGTGTAATTTATAAACAGATCGAATCCAATTTGGTAAAAAAAAACCTTAAATTCCAAAACGACCCTAATGAGCCGGTGAAAATCTGTTTTAACAGAGATCCACTTAAAGTCGGCCAAGCTCGTCTTGCCCGTGATCACGGCTGACGGCGGATTTGCCCCCGGTCTTATCGGATTTCAAGCAACACGTCAACGAATCAATGTTAAACGGATTGAATCTGATATCTTGATATTCCGACAAGGAACAGAGAGAAATCTGGCCGTAAAATACCAGGATCAGTTTCTAACAATTCATACAAATAAAATATACAAATGTTTTCTTGACTATTGTGATTTGATGTCTATGATGTTTTTTTCAGTCTTGCGGGCATGTCACGATCTGTAACTGTAGCCGTAGCCTACATAATGTCAGTCACGACGCTTAATTGGAAAGAGGCACTTAAAGTTGTCAAAGTGGGACGGTCCGTCGCAAACCCAAATGTCGGATTTCAAAAACAACTCGAAGAATTCGAAATGACCAAACTTTACGAGGTAAGACTTTATCTATTTAAAGGTTTAATTTATATACTATTTTTCTGGGTTTTAAGGAGAGGCGAAGGATAAAAGAGAGATTCCCGAGCCTGGCACTCGTCGCGAAGGACGAAGCCGAATGCCAAATTTTACTCAATTCATACGAAGGTCTGCTCCTGTCGAAGCACCTGTGCGAAGGAAACTGCCCCATGGGTGAAGTCTGCCCCACAGGCCTATGCCGATCGCCCAGCAAGACGTGAGTATGTCCCCTGAAAGAACCTTCAAAGCACCACAATTGAGAGAAGCTTATTAAAAATCTTTCACTGACTTTTTGTTTCATTCATTAATTTTATTATCGCACTGCTTTTGCAAGTTAGTCACTTTATTAACCCATTCAGGATGGTGAGCGTATAGCGCTCTTGCTTCTCCAAGTGAACCTCCCTCTACGCAGATACTGAGAACGTTAAGCCATGCTCTATTCTTTTCAGTTTTAGAATCAAGTTCATAATCAATATCGTGAACAATCATAAATCTTAATCTTACAATCGTTCCAGTCTGACCATTACTTCAGAGTTAAACAGGACATCAATATCCTCTATCTACCCTCTTCAAGCTGGCATTCCACAAAGGAGAATTCTTGGACCTCTACTTTACACAATTCATACTGCCCATATTCCTATCCTTCCAGAAATAATTCTCTCTATTTTGCTGACGATATGATAATCCAGTCACCGCAAACATTAAAAACCATTTGCAGTTGTTTGTTTGGTCCAAAATGTAGAGGTACGGTATGGTAATGAGAATACTAGGAAGTAGGGTTTGCGCTATCCAGGCACTGCAGCCTTATGGGTTATTGAACCTTCCTAGTTTCCTAGTTCAGTGCAATATTCTTAAGTATCTTAGATCAGTCTTAGAAGTATCAGGTCATTGCCTGTGTTGCTTCGCATTCGAAGATAATATGGGTGGCTGTTTCCTCCTCATCATAGCATAATCTGCAGATGGGATCATCGTTATACAGGCCCATGTTGAGTTGAGTGTCTGTTTTCTCAGGTGCCAGTGACTGGATAGTTATCCTACCGCTCCTCTGAGTTTAGCCCTCTACAATTGCAGCAGTGAGTTTGCCAGTCTTGGTGAGGGTTGTTTCATCATAAGTTTACTGTGTCTAGCGCCACTAGGGGTTGCACTCCCCAGGCACTGGAGCCTTCTGGAGTATTGTACCTTCCTAGTTCCTTAATTCAGTGCAATAGACTCAACCCTTCTCCTTAGAAGTATCAGGTCATTGACAATCGCTGCTGCAATTTGATTCCCTAAGTTTTTTCCGTACGTTAGGTTAAATTGAAGCTTCGCATTTGAAGATGATATGAGTGGCTGTTTCTTCCTCCTCATTACATAATCTGCAAATGGGATCATCGTTGTATATACCCATGTTGTGTAGATGTTTTCTCAGATGCCAGTGACCGGTTAGTAGTGCAACCACTCCTCTGAGTTTGACCATCTCCAATTGCAGCAATGCTTTTGCCATTCTTGGTGAGGGTTGTTTCACCATAAGTTTACTATGTCTAGCACTGCTAGAGTTTTCACTTCTCTTTTTGTTTTGTTTGGATCCATTCTGTGATGGAGGATTCTATATTTGTTTTTGTTATCCCAAGAATAGGTTCAGGGCCTATGTATAGTCTTGCAGATCCTCCTCTGGCCAGTCTGTCTGCTTTCTCGTTACCCAAAACTCTGTGCCCTGGCACCCAAGATATCATCAGGTTGTGTTTCCCCAGGTTTTGGAGATTTTTGATGCATTCACTGACTAATTTTGATATGATTTTTTTACTATGCTAATACTTTAATGGCTGCTTGGCTATCAGATCTTATGAGGATTTTTTTTCCAGTCCAACCACTTTTAAGATTTTCTAGAGCACAAGCGTTGATGGCATGCATTTCTGCTTGAAAGACCGAAATGTACTTCCCAAAGAGTTTGAGTGCCCATGTTTTGTGCTTGAATTGAAAATGCCCAATCTGATTCCTTCATTTGTTTACCTTATCATCGTATCTGATGCTCATCTGTTTTCTTCCTCTCCTTTATAGTCCGTTGAGACTTTATAAGATGTAAAGAATGTTTCCATGATCAAATAGTCAGTTCCCATTTCTAAGATTGGGTGTCTGATTTTGTTGATTATGGTTGGTGCCCGAATAGTATAGTTTGTATCCTATTGGATTGTTTTTAGAGCCTAAATGAGCTTTTCCTAGCCTCTCCTTGTAGAAATGTTCCAAGTGGATGTAGGTTTAGCGTACAAAATGTGGAGATTTACAATAAATGCAACAAAGAACTAATACACTAACTTCACACTCTTATTATTATACTACAACCTGTTTACTTACAACTGCTTACAACGCGGTTTAGAAGGTTGACACAGGGACACATATGCCTGTGTGTATGTCCAGCAGGTACAGAAAAATAGCTCAATGTGTCCCACTTAATTGAAGGGTATCATTCCTTGGCTCCATGTAGAAAATGTGTAAGAATGCCTCTCGGTATAGGTTGTGCTTGCTGTTGTGAAAGAGCTGTTTTATTGTACATATTACTGTAGTGTGTGAGAGTTGATGGTGGAATATTGACCCACTGAACCTCAATTATATTGTAGATGTAGATGTACTTTCAGGGTATAGTATACTGCGCCCTTTAAGAGCTATTGTATCCCCCGTGCTCTGCTTAAAGCACATCGGTGAGTCCTATTTCATCAAGAAACTTGATTAATAGGCCCGGTTTCAGTGGTTGAAGCTCTTCTACGGTCACATTGTACATCCCAAAACACTTCCTCCTGTGGGCTAGTGTAGCTCTGCAGTTTGTTAGTAAGTGTGTTGGTGTCTCTTCTGTTTCCTTGCAGAATCTACATGTGCCATCTTGGATTGTTCCAATTTTCTTTAGATGTCCATTTAATCTACAGTGTCCTGTTAAGAATCCTGTTAGGATTCGCAGTCTGTTCCTACTTCCTTTGACACATTCTGTGATTTCTTTCTTGCCAAAATTGGTTAGAAGATTCTTGGATTGTTTATGTCCAATAAGTGAATAAAAAAGTTCCCTCATTTTCTTTTTGTCCTTCTGTCTGAGATATTCGTTAATAGTGTGGGTTCCTATGCCACAGAAGGGTTCGGGTCCTATCAGCAGTGTGGCAGCCCCTTTTCTTGCAAGGGTGTCCGCTTTCCCGTTGCCTTCTACTCCCATGTGTCCTGGGACCCAGCAGAGGCTGACTTTATTCTGCATACTTAACATATTTAGTTTGGTTTTGCAGTTCAGCACCATCCTTGAACCAGTGGTATTTGAGCTTAGTGCTTTGATGGCTGCCTGGCTATCTGGCATGATAGCTAAATTCTTGTTTTTGTATCCTTTATTTAGATTGAATTGGATACATCTTTCAATTGCGTGAATCTCAGCTTGGAAGATACTGGTGTGTTTTCCCATGGTTCTGAGTATTTGGTGCCGGGTACCTCAATTATATTAGTTAGGTGTAAAGGTTGATCGATATCAAATACAACCCTGTGTGAATGGTATATAAATAGGAAATATTGTATTTAAGAGTAATAGTGTGAATGGGTTTAGGACTGTGTTGAGGGGCTGAAATGGCCTAGCTGTTGATTTCCCCTGGAACCAAACCTGGATGGATAACACCAAGATCTAACCCCCAGACTGCCAACACACGTAGTGGGTCTCGAGACCTGCCAGTAATTTTATTATTAATTTTGGAAGTGATAGGCTCAACTTGGTGAACCTTTATAAAAATTAGATATAAAGGTACTTTTCAATTTCACCTTACATTACTGTGGCACATTCTTATATCTAAGCATCTATATATAAATTGCTCAAAAATGAATTGATATATTGCCAATTTTGTAGTATTTACTTTCCCTAGAATTTTTATTTCATTTGTATTATAAATTGCATTAAAATTTATCAAAAACCATTGTTTTTTACAGAAAGAAAATTTAATTAAGGGATAGTGAAAAATAAAATAAAAGGTTTTAATTCCATAATTTTGTTTATTGTACACAATAATGTTTTTAAACAATTAATACCATGTATATTGTCCTCTGTTAGCTAAAACTTCTGTGCATTTGTTAAGCATATTGATAATAAGTCACTAATTTCATAAGGAATTTCACTCCATAGATGTTGCAACGCTGCACTCAGTAGTTGCAGGTCAACTGGCTGTGGACGGTGATTGTAAAGCCTTCTCTGCAACGCATCCCATGTGTGCTCAATGGGATTGAGGTCTGGAGACAACGGGGGAAGGTGCAGATGGGAAATTGCCGATTATTAACACTGATGAACAAATCTGCCTCTATGAGGTCTGGAATTGTCATCCAGAAATTAAAAATCCCTGCCAATGAGATTTGAGGGATGTAGTCTCGATAATTTCTTGGACATAATGGACTGCGGTGAGGTTCAACAATACGGAGTCCGGTTTATCCTCCGGTGTAAATCCCAGAACAGACCATTACACCGCCTCTTCCAAACTGCATTGAAGTGAGGATGATCTGGGGCATTGCACGCATCCCTTGTACTCGGTAGGCTCTTCAGCACCTGCTATCACTATAGAGACAAAAACACGACTCATCAATAAACAACAGCATTCCAATTGGTACTCTCTTCTAGGCGCTCACTGCACCATACTCTCCTGAGTTGCAGGTGGCAGGCTGTTGCTGTAGGTTGTCTCAAAAGGGCATACAATGTGAGGCCAACTTCCCTCAAACGATTCATATTAAAGGCCTAGCCAAAACGTCTTGTACTTCTTAGGATCTGGCAGGCACCATGAAAAGTGTTCCGTCTTGCAACAATGACAATATTTCTGTCCTCCCTTTACGTCATAATACACTGAGATCCATTACCAGGCCTCCTATTGGCACTTCCTCTAAGAAACGCCAACTGCCTTTGCAATATCCACTTGCAGGTGACCTCGGTGACTCATTCTCACAATAATATTGTGGACTTCTGGTTCGAATGATGGTTTCGAGATGATGTCTTTCCATGGTTAATAATAACAACTGGTTTAAAATGGAGAAAAGATGAGAAAAGGTGTTTGTTTACAAATGAGTAATCTCCATGTTTACTCCGTTATTAAAAATGAGGATTAACATTTGTTGGTTTTTTATTTGTATTTTTTATTTTGTTTTATCCAACTAACAAGAATATATCGGTCAATTTAGTTAAAATTAATAGAATAAGAACAAATTACAAATATTCCTATTCATTTTTGAACAGTTTATAAAAATGTTCTCTGACTGACTGAACGCACAGACCAAACTGCTGGATCTAAAGGGCTGAAATTTTGATAGTGCAT